ACTGGAGTGCAGTGGCCGCTCCTGGCCACCGCAGCCTTGACCTGCAGGGCTCCGGCGATCCTTCGGCCTCAGCCTTCCAAGTAGCTGGAATTACAGGCATGCGCTACCACGCCCGGCTGATTTTTTGATTTACTGTAGAGATGAGGTCTTGCTGCCCAGGCGGGTCTCGAACCCACGGGCTCAGGCAATCCACTCACCTCAGCCTCCCAAAGGCGTGGGATTACAGGCTGAGCCACCGAGCCCGGCTGTCAGCTTTTTAATAGAGGCAAACATGCCAGGAAAATAAGAGTTATCACACTAATTTATCTGTTTCATCCTTTGAGATAACAGAAAAATGTTTTTTTCCCCATCTTCAAAGTACTTGACCATAGATAGATATACTGCAGGTACACAGGAAAGATTTTGTGTAATCATATTAGCATTCTTATGAGATGTTTAGGTTACTCGAAAACCCAAGGCATGCTGGTATTTCAAATTATGCAGCCAGTTATATAGCAGTTTGGACTGTGGAAATAGATTGCTTTAATATACAGATTTTTAACAAAAGAAATTTCAAAGTTAGAATCGCTCTGCATTTATTTTAAATTCTGACCCTTTAACTTACTTATCTCTGTGTGTTTGTCTTGTACTGTTCCCTAACCTCAACAGCTATATCTCTGACAGTAAAAATCATATTTTCACTCAAGATCAAGCTCAAATCCAGTCTTCTCCAAGCCCCCATAATCTCCTTAGACAGGAAGTAATCCATTAATCAAGCTACTGAACATATAGCACATATCATTCATAATTATCAAATCACTATTTCTTTATTGTGGCCACTTTATAATAATTATTATATTGAAATCATTTATTGGAATAGAAAGACACTAACCTAACTAAGAAATAAACTATAACCATATACTTTTTCACACTAGTGGACACAGTAACTAATTATTTTTTAATAGAGCATTTAGGGTAACTGAGGACTTTTCTAACTCACAGAAACTATTTTAAGGTTTTTTTTAGTCCATGGTTGGTTCCAAGTGAGAATAAGCTCAAAGCTGGTTAGCCTACTTATTAGGAAGAAATAAAATATTATATGATTAAATAAGATGTTATATAAAATCACCTAAGAAAGGTATTCAAGAACTATTAGTGCCATTCTACATTACAATATATGAAAAACTTCACACAAGGATATGGGCTTCAAAACAGAAAGTCAATCTCATATGCATATTCATCAAGATTCTTTTTATTATTTTTATTTTAAAATTACTAAAACTAACCTGCTATAGAAAATGTTGGTCCCCCTTGATAATGTGATAATCCTGTATCCTGGGTCAAGTCAAACAGTAAGTCTGAAGACTTATTAGATACAACTCGTGATGAGTTCATTATATAACCCTGTTAAAATAGTTCAAAGGAAGAATATTACATTTATCCAAGTTATAATTATTTTGATATAATTATATAATTGTATATTATATAACTTCATATAATTATGAGAATTTTATTTCATAAACTTTGATTTTGCCGATATTCTAAGGATAAACTTTGATGACTCAAATATTAATAAGTTGGAAAACAAAGGTAATTACTACTTTACCAAAATTATCATTTACTAAAACTGAAGGCAAGCTTACTTGGAGCTGGTTAATTCCCGATTAGAAAACTAAAATGGGGAGACAAATTCTAGTCCAGCTTTTTTAAGGTAAAAAAAATGAATAAATCAACTTTATATCAATAAGACTGATACACTTTAGAGGGCTTCTAAAAATGCAGTAACCCCAACAAAGGGCAAATAATAGAACTTCAGAAGCTTTGGGCAAAGCAAGGAGAAAAATAGAAACCATATTGACCTGACTACAAAAATTAAAAGTTTCTATAGCTCTAAAACCTGACATGAAAAATATCAGAGCAAACAAACTGGGAATCAACCAGCAATATCATCCATCTGTGGAAAGGATGAATATAACACATAAGAATTTTGGAATCATCTTTATTGAAGAAATATATAAGCTATGGATCAGAAAGAGAAAGAATGGACCCCGCCCCCATCCCCACTTCCAATCATCCCACAGAAAGCCACGATGACCCAGTAAATCTTCTGTCTCATAAGACAAATATGAAAGCAACCTGATCAGTAAAGGGAACAAACAAGAATGCCAGGCATACAGTTTAGAACAGAAGTTATTTATGGAAGTTTATTTGGGCTAGCTGCCTGGCTTCTGGAGGCCTTGGGACTCATTGGAAATTTCAGCCCTTCCTCCCAGAGAAAAGGTGACCCAAGATAGCAGGAAGATTTCAAGAAAGAAACTGCCAGGCACCGTGGCTCATGTCTGTATTCCCAGCACTTTGGGAGACTGAGGCAGGAGGACCATTTGAGGCCAGGAGTTTAAGGCAGCCTGGGCAACACGGCAAGACTGTCTCTACAAAAAATAAAAATAAAAAGCAAAATTAGGCATGTGACTGTAGTCTTAGCTACTCAAGAGGCTGAGGTGGGAGGATCACTTGAGCCCAGAAGTTCAATGCTGCAGTGAGCTATGATCCTGCCGACACTGCACTCCAGTTTGGGCAACAGAGTGAAACCCTGTCTCAAAAAAAAAAGTATAAGATGAATCATAATGTGGTCAAGTATAAAGCAGGATAAATTTATACGTAAGTATAAGCATATATCTTTAATATAAATACTTAGGAAAGGTACAGTCAATATAGTTTAGGGATATATACTCCAACATTAATACATCAAATATACTGTTACATACACACACACAATACTATTTATAAAAGATACTAATTGTGGAGAGTAAGCCATTTATAAAAGATACTCATTGTGGAGGGTAAGCTCTGAGTGACTTTTCAACCATTCTACATGTAATAATATATAACAAGCAAAAGTTTGAAGATAACAATTGCTGAAAAAATAAAATGGAAAAAGTCACTTTAAGGGGAAAAATGAACAAAAACATACTGAGACAACTCAAAAGCAAAACACAAATGAGTGATATATTCAAGATACTTTTTTTTTATAACTCGCAAGTCAAAGAAATGCAAATAACAAAACAGCAATGTTTAACTACTTACTTAATGAGCATTGTTTTAAAGACCATAATATCAGCTGGGCTCGTTGGCTCAGCCTGCAATCCCAGCGCTTTGGGAGGCTGAGGTGAGTGGATTGCCTGAGCCCGCGGGTTCGAGACCCGCCTGGGCAAATTGGCGAGACCTCATCTCTACAACAAAATTAGCCAGGCGTGGTAGCGTGCACCTATAGTTCCAGCTACTTGGAAGGCTGAGGCGGAAGGATCACCAGAGCCCAGCAGGTTGAGGCTGCAGTGGCTGGGAGCAGCCACTACACTACACTCCAGTCTGGGTGACAGAGTGAGACTCCAACTTCAAAAAAAAAAAAAAAGAAGACTACAATATCTACTACAAAATAAATAATTGCCCACTACTCTTGAAAGTGTCAAGGTCATGAAAGACAGAATGAATAACTGTAGAAAATATGAGGACAGTAAGAAGAAATGACTAACTATAAGGTGGAATCCTGAATAGAATCCTGGGAAAGATTATTAATGAAAAACCTGGTGAAAATCTAATAAGATCTCCAGTCTAGTTAATTACCTGGCTGTGATAAGTAAGGTGTTATATAAGGGAACCTTGTGTATTACTTTTTCTGTAAGTCTAATACTAGTTTGAGTTAAAAAGTCAAAATTAGGCCAGGCTCGGTGGCTCAGCCTGTAATCCCAGCACTTTGGGAGGCCAAGGCGAGTGGATTGCCTGATCCTGCGGGTTCAAGAACCACCCAGGGAACTTGGCGAGACCTACAATAAATCAAAAAAATTAGCCGGGCATGGTAGCACACAACTACTTGGAAGGCTGAGGCGGAAGGATCGCCAGAGCCCAGCAGGTCCAGGTTGCAGTGGCCAGGAGCATGCCACTGAACTCCAAGTCTGGACGACAGAGTGAGACTCCAATTAAAAAAAGAAAAATTTAAAACTTAAAAGTAATGATAAGCCAGGCACAGTGGCTCTAGCCTGTAATCCCAGCACTTGGGGAGGCCGAGGCGAGAGGCTTGCCTGAGCCCAGGGGTTCGAGACCAGCCTGAGCAACTTGGTGAGACCTCATCTCTACAATATATCAGAAAATTAGCCAGACATGATAGCGCACGCCTGTAGTATAGCTACTTGGAAGGCTGAGGTGGAAAGATCACTGGAGCCTAGCAGGTCAACGCTGGTGTGGCCGTGAGCATGCCACTGCACTACAGCCTGGGTGACAGAGTGAGACTCTGTCTCAAAAAAAAAAAGTAATGATAACATTCACTATTTGTAAAATAGAGGTTATATTTTGGTATAATATTTCTACATAAAACTTTTGGCAGAAACTCTCAAAGGCTTTAAAAGGTTCACCTTAGCCTGGCTTGGTGGCTCAGCCCGTAATCCCGCACTTTGGGAGGCCGAGGTGAGTGGACTGCATGAGTCCGCGGGTTCGAGACCTGCCTGGGCAACTTGACGAGACCTCATCTCTACAATAAGTCAAAAAATTAGCCGAGCATGGTAGCGCACGACTATAGTTCCAACTACTTGGAAGGCTGAGGCAGAAGGATTGCCGGAGCCCAGCAGGTCGAGGCTGCAGTGGCCAGGAGCATGCCACTGCATTCCAGCCTGGGCGACAGAGTTAAGACTCCAACTCAAAAAAACAAATAAATAAATAGAAATTTAAAAAATAAAATAAAATCAATAAAAAATAAATAAATAAAAGGTTCACCTTCTTTTTGATCCAATTATTCTGCTTTCAAGAATTTATGGTAAGGAAATAAAAACGTTTAAGAAAAATTATTTATAATAACTAAAATATATATAACCTATATGTCCCACAATGGAAGAAGGTTAAATAAACTGATTAACTATCATGTATCCATTAATATCATGTTTTTAAAAAAATCTAATGACATGTTCCAAGTAGAATGCTCAGTGAAAAAGAAATATCTACCTGCATATACAATATGATATGTTCCTGATTGATTACTCTTCTCTCTTCTAAACTCTCCACCAAAATATATATTATTTTAAAATAGAAACAAGGGTTTTGTTTTATGCTTATGATTAAGAAATAATTAGGTTTTAAGAATTTTGCTTTGTTACTAACTTCTATTGACATGGATTTGTTTAGAAGTTATAGAAACAAATGTTGAGATAACCCAAACTACTAGAACCAGAGACCTAACAGACAGATACAGGCATTTAAGTCTTAACTAGCATATAAAAAATAGTCATAATCAGTAATGCCATATGACTTAATTATAAGCAAACAGTCATACTTCAAGATAGTTTCTCCAAATATCTGCACTTTAAAAAATGGAAAATACTCACTTGCATTTTTCAAAATTGTTATTTAACAGAAGTATAATAAAATTAATGCTGTTAAACACTTTCCTAAGCAACAACTCTGGTTAATTAAGGACTACATTTTCAGAAAGCAGGCAACACATTATTCAATAAGTGACTGGTTAAAATAACTCTCCAACAAAGAATTTTTAATGTCTTATAAAAATCGTTCAGAAAAATGTCAAATACAATAAGGATAGAACAGGTACTAGGCTGGGATTCAGAAGACCTGCACTAGGTAATCTTGGGAAACTTACTACTGAGTTTCAAGTTATCCACCTTTCAAACTGAAATAATAGCCACAAATATGTTTTAAATGTACTTCCTCGTCACAGCCCATGTATTATATCAAGGAGTTTCCACAACAATACTAACACACATCTAATATTATTCCCTATTTTATAAATAGGTAAACTAAGGTTAGGTGTGACTGATTAAGGCTCCCAAAGCAGCCCCACTTGTTGCTGGTGGAGCTAGCATTAAAACCCAGGTCTGACTGATTACAAAGCCCATGCCCTTAAGCTATATCACACTGACTTTATAAATGATAATAATATATACCATCCCTGCCTACCTGAAAGAGATGTTGAGATACCAAAATATTCATTAAAAAGTAAAAATACACACACAAAAAACATGACATAATGAAAAGTAGTATAATTTATTAAAACTAATAGCTTCCAAAATTCAGAGAAAAGTCCCTTAAATAGGATTTTCAATTCATTCCAGAATACATCTCTGTCATTCTTACACAGTAGAATCACTTAAAGAGTTTTTAAAAAGCTATAATTTCCAGGCCCCACCCAAAACAATTGGCAAAATATCTCATTTTTTAAAAGGCCCAAGTATTGAGAACCACCAATAAGGTACTTTGATTTAAAAACTATGCCCAAAACTCTCTGAGTCAGAAAAAGATCTAATTTCTAACTTTTATAATACCAAAGATACCACCCCTTGATTTATTTATTTATTTTTTCTTCCCTGGGACCAATGTTGGAAAGATTTTTATCCATCAAACATGAAGTTTTCTTTTTCTAGTTTTTTTTTTCCCCCTCAAATGCCAAACAATTTCTAACAAGTATGAGAAAACCACTGAGTTAACTTGATTCTAAGAGCAAAGAATTTTTACATTCTGGTTAGCTTTTCATTTCATTTCAAGAACATCTATTACGTTTTTTAAAACATTAGCAATAGCCTGTGGAACCTTAGAAGATCCAAGATAGAGATTCAGCAGTCTCCTACATCATTCTTATTGTCTAAGGAGTATACATTTTAAAGAAAATTTACTACTATTCTTCTAAGATAGTGGAACCCTAACTCTTTGGCTTCAGGACCTCCTTACACTTTTAAAAAATTATTGAGCCCAAAAAGAATTTTTGTTACGTTGGTTATATCTATTGATATTTACCATGCTAGAAATTAAAACAGAGAAAATTTCAAAATATGTATTTATTAATTTATTTTTAAATAACAATAAACTCATTACAGATTAACATAAATGACAAATTTTTATAAAAAATGACTTGCAAATACAAAATAATTAGTGAAAAATGGCAGTGTTTTACATCTTTGCATCTTGAATATCTACCTTAATCAAAAAGTGGTATAGTCTCTTATCTGCTTCTGCTTCCAATCAGCTAGAACATGTTTTGGTTGAAGAAAAAAACCTGGCTTCATAGCAATATATAATTGAAAAAGGGAGTATTTTAATACCATTTTAAGACAACTGTGGATACTTAGATACTATATCAAAACTCAACAATTGGTACTTTCTTAAAAGTCTGTTGCAACGTACCATCTGAAGCCATATCCTTGAACTCTGTATACTCTGTTTCCATTAAAATCACTTATCTTAGATTTAAATGAATCTTTTACCCATGCATAATTTTGTAACATATACATTGGTTATTTGGAAAATATTGGTTTCACTGAATGATGCAGATCTTCCAAATGCTGGCTTAATGCATTATTCAATAACAAAAAATAATTATTTATAATTACCATGACCTATCAGAAAAGCTTTGAAGTATTAGAAAGCTGTCAAGATCATGGTGGCAGATATAGTTTTCTAAAATTCTAATTTTTGTTTGAAAGCTCAAATTTTACCACTAACAAGATATACCACTATCAGTTGTTTTCCTTGAAGTGGCAAGTGTACTTTGTTCAATTTTGAAGAAACATTTGCCAAACACTCAATACTGAATAACTGTGTGTAGCAGACAGACTCTAATGTGGCCTCTATGATCCTGGTATTCGTGTCCTGTGTGACTGCCTCCCTTTGAGTGTAGGTAGGACCTCTGACCTGCTTACAACAAACAACAAAAGTGACAGGATATATATGCTTTTGTATACATGATTATATTATCTAAGACTCTAAAGGCATCTTGCTTAGGACTCTCTCTCTTGTTAGCTTTGAGGAAGCAAACAGTCATGTTGGGAAGACTTATCTGGCAAGGATTCAGTCAAAAGCCAGCCAGATATTGAAACTCTCAGTCCAGCAACCCTTAAGGAACTGAATGCTGCCAACAACCATGTGACCTTGGAAGCAGATACTTCCCCAACAGAGCTTCAGAAGAAACTGTAACTTCAGGGTCCACATCTCGAATGCAGCTTTGTGAGACCCTCATGCAGAGAATCTAACTAAACCATCACCTGACTCCTGACCACAGAAACTAAGACTGTGAGATAAATGCATGTTGTTTAAAGCCATATAAGTTTGTGGTAATATTGACACACAGAAATAACTAATATACCATGGTTTGTCAGTCATTCTTTCAAGTAAAAGTGGTGTTCTATTTTTTTAAAAAAGAGCAGGTAGTTTAGCTCACAAGTGTTTTTCCTCAAGACAATCATACTCCAGACACAGAACAACATTATGCATACTACTCATTTCATCACATAGAATATTTTAAAAGACACATATTCAAGGGTAGAGAGTTAACAAAATTAACAACATTTTAACATTTCATCAAGGAGACAGTATAACTGTAATATTTTTTACTGTGAGTACATGGTGGGAGGCTAATGCAAGAACTACAAATACAGTTTGGTGGCACTACCTTGATTCACATTAAGGCACCAGCAGCTTACCCACCATTGCTTTGGCATCATCTGTGAAATGTCAACACAGTTGAAAAGACAAACAGTTTTTGGTTATGATGACAACAATGATGACTCCCAAACCCCAGAAAGAGCTTTAGGGAACTCCAGGGGACTACCAACACTTTGAGAACTGTTGAACTAATACAATTCTTTCATTTCTTAAAAAGTACACATGTATATACAACATATATGTATGTATGTGTGTATATACATAGAAACTGTGAGTTAGTCTGGATTGAAATTCCAGATCCATCATCCGCCAGCTATGGAATCGTGAGTAAATCATTTAACCTTTATAAGCCTCAGTTTCCTCAACTAGATATTGAGAATAATAATAGTATCTACTTCATAGGGATGTTTAAGAATTAAATGAGATTAATTTACATAAAGCTTTTAGCACAAAGTCTTATACATATTAACAACTCAATGAATGGTCATTATTACCACGTTCTATTACTTTTTGTTGAGGTTTTTGTTTGTTTGTTTTTAACTAACTAAACTATGAAAGAATGTTTATTTATTTACTTATTTATTTTTGAGTTGGAGTCTCACTCCGTTGCCCAAGCTGGAGTGCAGTGGCACACTCATGGCCACCCCGGCGTCGACTTGCTAGGCTCTGGCGATCCTTCTAACCTCAGCCTTCCAAGTAGCCGGAACTACAGGGACACGCCACTACATCTAGCTAATTTTTTTTTTTAATTTATTGTAGAGATGAGGTCTCGCCAAGTTGCCTGGGCTGGTCTCGAACCCATGGGCTCAGGCAATCCACTCGCTTCATCCTCCCAAAGTGCTGGGATTACAGGCTGAGCCACTGGGCCCGGTCGAAAGAAAGTTTTCAGAATAAAAAGTTATAGTGGCTTCTTGATAATCTTGATAAGGACATCTGGCTCAGCTTGTAATATTAAACATTTGCCATTATGCAATATTTATTATTGATTATACTTTTATTTCTATTTTGATAGCATAGTTTTCAATATTATACCTATTTAATTTAAGCATATTGCCTAACTTTCAACAAGTTAGGTAGTTAGCTCCTACAGTTATTATTTTAGATACTGCTTGAGTTATAATAAAGATGGTGACATTTTCTGATGCTGATTATGCTTCTACTGGATGACTACTTATGACACTCCAGAATTTTAACTGGGTATTGTTGATACTGATAAAAAATATCCAATGTATCCCTGAGCTGACTGTGTAGTTTCAAAAACACTTACAGGTTTAGAAAAAGGCTGAATAATAACAGAACTATCTGAAGATCTAGATTCGGGATGAAAATTAACTGGCGAGGTAACCACTGGATTTGATGTTGGATTCATGTAGTGGTGACTTGTAGGCTTGAATGCAGCAGTAATACCTGTATTTCAAAATAACACAATATATTCAATATACTTCTATATAATCAATTTTGTCAAAATACTTCACTTTAAAATTAAAATAATATAATAAGACCGTACCTCGACTGAGTGTGCCATTCTTTAGTCCCCTTGAATATGAGCTGGGATTAACTCTGTTCAAAATATCTATAAAAAATTATATTCATTTTAAAATTCATTATTTGAATGAAATACATACCATACTAAAATAACAGAAATCAAGAACTGAAAACAGATTCCTGGGAGGAGTATATAATTTATCACTTATTTAAGAATAGAGTACCTTTAAATACATAAATCTTTATCTACTAAAGAAAGAAAAAAAGCAAGATTACTAGCCTTAATTGTTTTACAGAATAAGAACCTTCTTTCTCATTATAACTCACAATCCAACTAGAAGTAAAAGAATGACAACTCTTACGACATATGCATCAAAGCATTTTGTACAGCAAAGAAATAATCCATATAGCTAATAAAAATTTTCCAAAAATACATATTTATACAAACCCTATAATTCAAGTATATATCTTTCTTTGAATGATGACAGGACTGTACATACACTTGAATTCCTATAACTCAAAATCAAATCCTTTTCCAACCTACACATTGCATTAATATGTCCAAAAGCCTTGAAGTTTCATTATGCACTGGATTATCTGTCTTTGAGTTCTAAAAGGGAAACTATCAGAGATTGCAGACTATACTGACCCAACAGTTTACCATAGTATTAGTTCAAGGGTTTCAATTCTATCACTTCACCAAAAGTCAATCTGAGCCTGACATGACTTTGAGGAGATCAGCTTAAAGTTCTTCATTCTTGCATGTATGTAAACTCTGTAACATATAGCTTATCAAACAAAAATTTAGAAGTTAAGAATTGGTCTAAAACTGCTAATTAGAAAAAGGTAAAAAGCACCCAACCCCCCCACCCTCATAATTTTTCATAGTAGAGAAGAATCAGATCCCATTAGGTAATTCTATAAAGTAAACGTTCATACAAAAAATAAGGTTATTAAAAAGTGGGCAAAAGATATGAATAGACACTTCTCAAAAGAAGACATACAAGCAAACAACAGATACATGAAAAAACGCTCAGCCTCACGAATTATCAAAGAATGCAAATTAAAACCACACTGAGATACCACCTAACTCCAATCGGGATGGCCATCATCAATAACTCAAAAACCAACAGATGCTGGAGAGGATGCAGGGAAAAGGGAACACTTCTACACTCTTGGTGGAAATGCAAACTAGTACAACCTCTGTGGAAAACAGTGTGGGGATTCCTAAAAGATCTAAAAATTGACCTTCCATTCAACCCAAAAATTTCCCTTCTGGGAATATACTCAGAGGAACTCAAATCACTCTGTGAAAAAGATACCTGCACATGCATGTTTACTGCAGCATTATTCACAACAGTAAAAACATGGAACCAACTGTGCTGCCTATTGAAACTGGACTGGATAAAAAAAATGTGTTACATATACACAATGGAATATTACTCAGCCATAAAGGACAAAATTGTGAATTTCAGAGTAACTTGGATGGATTTAGAGTCTATAATACTCAGTGATCTATCACAGAAACAAAGAACTGAGTACCATATGTTCTCTCTCATAAGTGGACCCTGAACAATTATCATAATACTATAAAAAAGGGATTGGCGGTAGTGGGAAACAGCCTGGAGGGAGCACACTTCAACAATAAGGTTATCTTATCTCAAACCAGGCAAAGTGGGGACCGAAGTAAGGCCCAAACTTTACATGTACTATGAACATCTGTATATCTAATCCTGAATTGTACCCCACATCCTTAAAATTGAAAAAATTTATTTTAATTTTTTTTAAATGGCTGTTTCTGATTATGTCAATGCAGTGCTCTATAATTAAACACTATAGAAGTCTTTTTTTTTTTTTTTTTTGAGTTGGAGTTTCACTGTTGTTGTCCAGGCTGGAGTGCAGTGGCATGCTCACTGTCACCCCAGCGTAGACCTGCTGGGCTCTGGCTATCCTTCGCCTCAGTCTTCCAAGTAGCGGAAACTACAGACACGTGCTACCACCTGGCTAATTTTTTTTTATTTATTGTAGAAAAGAAATCTCGCCAAGCTGCCCAGCCTGGTCTGGAACCCGTGGGCTCAGGCAACCCACTCTCCTCGGCCTTCCAAAGTGCTGGGATTACAATAGAAGTCTTACTGGAGAAAAATCTGCTCAAACAACTTGACACTGTTTTCACTCAGAAAGTCAGAATTAAATATTTACTCAAATCATCAAAGAACTATTGCTACAGTATTTATAGTGATTATAGTCTACAAAACATAAGTTTTTTACCCTCCTTTCTAGTAGTTTGAGACAAACATTTAACTCATATTCCAGGCCGGGCTTGGTGGTTCAGCCTGTAATCCATCCCAGCACCCTGGGAGGCCGAGGCAAGTGGATTGCCTGAGCCCGCCGGTTCGAGACCCACCCGGGCAACTTGGCGAGACCTCATCTCTACAATAAATCAAAAAAAAATTAGCCGGGAGTGGTAGAGCGCGCCTGTAGTTCCGGCTACTTGGAAGGCTGAGGCAAAAGGATCGCCAGAGCCCAGCAGGTCGAGGCTGCGGTGGCTGGCAGCGTGTCACTGCCCTCCAGTCTATGCAACAGAGTGAGACTCCAACTCAAAAAAAAAAGCTCATATTCCATAGGTTAAAATACTTTATGGCTTATGCATAAAACAACAATAAAAATTGTTTAAATTCTTCATCTTACCAGTTTGGAAAAGAAATTCTTTTGGAGTCAATCCCCTTCCTGACAGAATTATTTTAAAAGTAGCTGGGTGCAGTGGCTCACGCCTATAATCCCAGCACTTTTGGAGGCCAAGGTGAGAGGACTGCTTGAGCCCACGGGTTTCAAGACCAGCCAGAGCAACTTGGCGAGACCTCATCTCTACAATAAATCAAAAAAGTAGCCGGGCATGGTAGAATGTGCCTGTAGTTCCAGCCACTTGGATGACTGAAGGGAAAGGATTGCCTGAGCCCAGCAGGTCGAGGCTGCGGTGGCTGGGAGCGTGCCACTGCCCTCCAGCCTGGGTGACAAAATGAGATTTCAGCTCAAAAAAAAAAAAAATTAAATTAAATTAATATGCATTGTTAGAGTTTGACTACTATGAAGAATCATCTACAATCAAATTCAATTTAAATCTTAACTGTCATGTTTTCAGTAAGATTTTGAATAACAATTTTAATAATCATATCAGTGACTACAAGACAATAATTTAGAGAATAAGATCATGTTCACTATCAACAACAAGTATGCAATCATGCTTAATTTACTTTATAATCCACGTAGCACTCCACTTAGCACTCCTTGCGAGATTATCAATCTGCCACAGGAAATGGTATTGAAAATTCAACTGGCTAAATTATTCTTCTAGTAAAACTGAATAAAAATGCCAAGTGCAGAGGAAAGAGAAGCAAGAACTAGGCTTTCCAAAAATTTTAAAGTAGTCTCTAAATCACACTTTTAAGCATTGCCATGATAAGTAAAAAAAAACAAAACACTACTATACTGTGTACATAACATTCTTTGGTAAGTTTTCCTGGCTTAAAACAGACATGTAAATGAAATGGAATAGGAGGCTCTATTTTCTCCCTCTACCTGAAATGTGTGCATTATTTCTCTGCACTTTTTTTTTTAAAGAAACAGGGTCTTCTTCTGTCACCCAGGCTGGAGTGGTGTGATCACAGCTCACTGCAACCTTGAACTTCAGGCTCAAGTGATATTCTCTCAGCTCCTCTTCACTCGCCCTCTGCACCACCATGACCAGCTAAATCTTTTATTTTTTTGTACAAAAGGGCTCTCACTATGCTGTCCAGGCTGGTATTGAACTCCTGGGCTCAAGCAATCCTCCCACTTCAGCCTTCCAAAGCACTGGGATTACAGGCATGAGTCACTGCATTCAGCCATGCACTTTGTCATGCATTTTTTAGCAGACATATTAACAAGTATCATCAAAATCTCTAACATTATAACAATGCCAAATCCTATTATTCTAAATAAAAGATAATAAACCACAAAGGTATCAAGTTGTTCTACTAGAAAGTCTTAAGGATTTAAACGTAGTAAGTGTTATATCATCCAAGTACAGTGGCTGTTAGACAATGCCCTTCTCTTTCATGCATACAAATAGGAGTTGGAATATAAATAGACAGATGTGGTTAGAAGCTACAGCCCCTGTTGGTACACAGGCCAAAGACTATTCATTGCCCATTTTGTAGCCATGTATAGATGACACTGCAATGAGGCCTGGATGTAAGAACTCCTGTAGTATATTCTGAAATTTTAAGCAAAGCATTCTAAGTCCTTTCTTTTCTCAACTTTTGGACTTAAGTGAGAAAAATAAAAAAGAACAAACAGATAAATAAGTTTAGTTCCACTAAAAATTACAACGTCTCAGAAGACCTTCAGTGTCACTAGTCACCAGCTAATCTATCAATTTTTCTTTTCTCACATCTAATATTTAACCTCTTACCTCCTTCCTCAAGTCCCCAGTAATATCCCCATCCTAATTCTCAAATTCTTATTGGCCTCCCACCCACTCTGTCATCCCTAACTCCTTACAGCAGAACTAAGACATCAAGTACCTATAAAACGGTTCACAAGTTTTTCCATTAGAAATAATACCTTATAAAACTCAGCTTCACTAAAAGTAAATGCTTACTTGAAATTGCTGGTCTTGAACTTGATATCTCTCCAACAAAGATTGGCTCATCATCATCATCATCCTCAACCTCTTTTACTTTCTTCTGCCATGGTTCCAGCTCTTCTTCTTCACATTCCATAAACAGTTCTGCCATTTTTGAATTATCTAATTTTCAAAAGGAAAGAAGTAAACCTTATTTTCAAAAAGAAAAATAAACACATTTTTGTAATGCATAGTATATTTAAGATCTACTTAAAATCTTAATAGCAATTTCTGAATCGATATTTGTAGTCAGTACATGGTAGCAACAATGAGAAATACAGAGTATACACTCTAAGCTACAAACTAGTAAAATTTAGATAGATAATGAATGACAGTAGTTACTTACAGTGGACAGAAAATATGGAACAGTCAAGTGAGTTTTAGTCAGATATGCAGAATATGACTATCTCTATCTGAAGGATTATACCTAACAATTATCTTTTTTAAAAAAATATATATGAATAAAACAGAGATAAATTAAGAGCAAGAGGCAGCAGGTGGAAAATAAACTAGAAAAACGTAACCAGATTTCAAAATACCAGGCAAAGAATAAAGCAGAGAAGAGATGCTAGAATAAAATATGGAAAATGAATGAGACTTATTCCATCAAGTGCAAATTAGGTATTTCTCACCTGTCTGTGGCCATACAACAACCGTAAAACGCTAGATTTCATCTGATCTCGGAAAACAAGCAGGGTAAGACTAGGTTAATACTGGGTTGGGAAATATTTCTCACCTGCCAAATGTCATAAATCATTTCCTGTTAAATGTTTAGTAGTCCACCTACGAAAAAAAAAAAAAAAGCCAGCTGGTGCGATGGTTCACAACTGTAATCCCATCACTTCAGGAGGCAGAGGTGAGAAATTTGCCTGAGCCCACGTTTTCAAAGCCAACATGGGCAACATGGCAAGACTTCATCTCTACAATAAATAAAAATATTAGCCAGGCATGGTAGCATATGCCTATAGTTTCAGCTACTTGGAAGGCTGAGGCGGATCACTTGAGCCCAGCAGGTCGAGGCTGCAGTGGCTGTGAGCGTGCCACTGCACTCTAGCCTGGGTGACACTGAGACTTAGGCTCAAAAAAAAAGGAAAAAAAAGCCAGCTGGTAATCTGGCGCTTTGGGAGGCTGAGGTGAGTGGATTGCCTGAGCCCGCGGGTTCGAGACCTACCTGGGCAACTTGGCGAGACCTCATCTCTACAATAAATAAAAAAATTAGCCAGGCGTGGTAGCGCGCCTGTGGTTCCAGCTACTTGTAAGGCTGAGGTGGAAGGATCGCCGGAGCCCAGCCAGTCGAGGCTGCGGTGGCCAGGAGCGGCTACTGCACTCCAGTCTGGGTGGCAGAGTAAGAATCCAACTCAAAAAAAAAAGCCTTCCCATTTTCCCAAATGTTATGAACATCATGAACCGATGCCTTTTTTCTCTAACCTATACTGTTTTCCTAATTATATAGAGTTTTTCTCTTTAAAATAGGTTAATCTAAAATACTAATTTTCATTGGCAATCATAGCTTAGTATTTGCATATTTTAAATACCTGAAATACCTCCTTCATTGTGTACCTCTGAGCTATTATTCCACTTCTTTCTTCTACCTAGAATATCCTTCCTCACTTACATAGTCATCATTCTAGACTAAAGAAAAGAAAGCATAGAATTGATATCAAATTGAATAGTTCAAATCTTCACTGCACTGTTTCTAATCATATGACTCTAGAGAAGTTCCTTAAACCCATCTTCCTTATCTAATGAGTATGATATCTACCTAAAAGAAGTATGACATAGATTCAAGAAAATGCTATTGAAGTATCCAATTTCAAATAGATACCCAACCAAATATTAATCTTCTGTCCCTCCTAATTCTGGGTTTATTATAACTCCCCTAGAGTAAGCCATTAGGTTTTACTTTCCTTCAAATTCTGAACTACATTGATATACGCAATTCAAGATTTAACATGTATGATCTCAAACTGTTCACTGTATCTTCATGTCTTAATTTTATATGTTAAAAGCAAAACTCAGCTCACTAGGACTACATTTCCTCCTACACATTAGATGGGCAGTTGGCACATAGTATATAATAATCTACGAACTAAATGAAATCAGGCAGTGCCTAATTTTAAACAATTAGAGAGATTCATTCCATAATGATAATAAAAGTATCATTTACATCCAGTTACAATATGTTATGGGCTGAATTGTGTTTTCTCAAAACTCGTAAGTTGACGTTTTAACCCATACTACCTCAGAATATGACTATACTTGAAGATAGAGTCTGCAGAACTAAGTAAATTATGAGTTTACTAGGGTAGGCCCTAATCCAGTATTACTGGCGCCCTTAATAGAAGAGATGAGGACAACAACACATGCAAAGGAGGAAACCATGTGCAGATATAAGCAGAAAATGGCCAGAGAGGCCAGGAACCCTTCCCTCATGGCCCTCAGAAGAAACCAACCCTACCAATACATTAATCTTGAACTTCTAGCTTCAAGAATTGTGAGATATAATTATGTGATTTTAACTGTTCAAGCTTAAAACTAAACTTGAACTAAAATTATAGTATAAATTTAAAAAAAGAATTATGAGAAAAATTTTCATTGAGTAAGCTACCCAGTCTGTGGAATTTTGTTATAGCAGACCTAGCAAACTAATACAGCATACAAAGGTCTTCTCTGTTCTTTTTAACAAGGCACTGCCACTGTTATATTGAAGATTTATTGTTAAGAAAAAATTTTAAAGACACATAATAGCTTTATAATTTTTTTATAAATATTTTTTTTTGCCTGTGCATATAAGAAATATATGTGATTCTATACATCAAATTGGTGATAGCAGTTACTTCTGGTAATAGGGAGAAAACCTTTCATTTCTACTTTTCTCTTTTTTTTATTTACATTATTTGTTTTTATGTGAGCATTTGTTACTTTGACAATTTTAAGTGTTTTTGTTTTTAAGAAGAATGTGGCCAGGCGAGGTGGCTCAGCCTGTAATCTCAGCACTTTGGGAGGCCAAGGCAAGAGGATTGCCTGATCCTGGGGGTTCAAGCAGCCTGGACAACTTGGTGAGACTTCATCTCTACAATAAATCACAAAAACTAGCCAGGTGTGGTGGCATGCGTCTGTAGTTCCAGCTTCTTGGAAGGCTGAGGCAGAAGGATCGCCTGAGCCCAGCAGGTCGAGGCTGCAGTAGCTGTGAGCATGCCACTGCACTTCAGCCTGGGCAACAAGAGTGAGACTTCAACTCAAAAAAAGAAAGAAAAATGTCCCCCACCCTCTCACCCTCAGCAGGTCAAGGCTGCAGTAACTGTGAGCATGCCACTGCACTCTAACCTGGGCAACAAGAGTGAGACTCTAAGTCAAAAAAAAAAAAAAAAAAGGCCCCTACTTATCATCCTTTCTCCTGAAGCAAAACTATACAAAAGTCACACAAACTAACATCAGTTGTGGCAGCAATACTTACTTTTTGGTTGAAAAAGGTTGTCGCCCATCAAGTTGCAGAGTTGACTTTCTGTAAATTGTCACCTAAGTACTGACATATGACATCAATCAATTTTATGAGTCACTTTAAGGAACACCAAATATTGAAACATGAAACTTGGGATTCACAAACTCTTGGATCTAATTTTGAGCTCTAAACTCACCATGTGACTCCAGGCAAGGCAGCAAGTTATGTCTCAGTTTTCCTTCCTATAAAATAAAGATACCAACTATTAGGGTAGATTTAATTAAATTAAATATATACATACTTAACATTTTCCTCTATAAAAGCTGAGTTTTTACATTTGTTTTGTTTGATATGCATACATAACTCACTTAACGTAATTGGTTCATTCCTCAATAAATCCAAATTTTATAAATAAAATGGTGATTAAAATATTAGGCACTTACTACCTGAAGAAATTTAATGAAGCAGTAGATTGCAAATAATTTTTTTGTTGTTGTTATTTTTTATGTGTTTTTTGTTTTCTGGATAAGTGGGTACAAGTTTATAAACATCCTAGGAGGTCATGGCAAAGACTTTAGATTACATTCCAGGACCAATGAGAAGTACTGAAAAATTTTAAGTAGAGGAGTAACATGATCTGATTTACTCTTTAAAATGATCACTCAGGTTACTCTATTGGCAATGAATTGCAGAAGAGCAAGAGAAGAAGCAGGGAAATACTTGAGGTTTTCACAAAAATTTACGTGAGACTAGTCAGCATGGCTATTGCTTCTCTCCAGACAGGTTTAGCTGCTTAAGAGCTGGTACAGAATAGGTGAAAAGTTGGGTTACAAATGATTTTTAAAGTATCCTTTCAAAAAAAATGAGTAATCATCTCATATTGTATTGTTTTAGGAAACCTGTCTTTTCAGATGCTAAGTGATATTAATCTTTAACTGTTACCTTTTCTTCACATTTCAGAAATAAATAAAACTATTTCTGTAAGAAAACACAATTTTAGGCTAGGTGCGGTGACTCAAGTCTGCAATCCCATCACTGTGAGATGCCAAGGCAGGAGAAATGCTTGAGCCCAGGAGACAGAGACCAGCCTAGGTAACATAGTGAGACTCCATCTCTACAAAAAATATATACATATTTTTTTAATTAGCTAGGCATTGGCTGGGCATGGTGGCTCATGCCTATAATCTCAGCATTTTGGGAGACCGAGGTGAGAGGATTGCCTGAGTCTACAGGTTCGAGATCTGCCTGGGCAGCTGGGGGAGACCTCATCTCTACAATAAATCAAAAGATTAGGCTGGGCTCGATGGCTCAGCCTGTAATCCCAGCATTTTGGGAGGCCGAGGCGAGCGGATTGCCTGAGCCCGCGGACTTAAGACCCACCCAGGCAATTTGGTGAGACCTCATCTCTACAATCTATCAAAAATTAGCCGGGCATGATGGCATATGACTGTAGTTCCAGCTACTTGGAAGGCTGAGATGGAAGGATGGCCTGAGCCCAGCAGGTCGAGGCTGCGGGACTCCAACTCAAAATAAAATAAAATAAAATAAATTAGCTAGGCATAGTGACATACGCCTGAAGTCCCAGCTACTCAGAAGGCTAAGGCGAGGAATAGCCTGAGTACAGGAGGTTGAGGCTACGGTGAGCCGTGATCATACCACTGCACTCCATTCTGGGCAACAGAGTGAAACCTTGACTCAAAAAAAAAAAGAGAGAGACTAGTGAGTCTTGTGTTTAACTAAATTCCCCCTAGTTCTGATATGCAACTATTTAAATCTCTTTAACTCAATCATTTGAATAATTGCAGTTTATCCCCTAAACTATAATCGGTGTGATGCTTGCATAAGTAAATACATGACAATTCATGCTCGATATTAAGGACTTACCACTACCAAGAACATAGAATATTTTTAAAATTTACAATTGCATACCCTATTGAGACTCACATACTTGTATATTATTTTTATTAATCGATTATATAAATATCTATTGCCAAATGATTCAGAATTTTGGTAGCAAAGCAAGGAATTCTATGAAAGATTGTATCAGAGCCGGGCTCGGTGGCTCAGCCTATAATCCCGCGCCTTTGGGAGGCTGAGGTGAGTGGATTGTCTGAGCGCGCAGGTTCGATTCCCGCCTGGGCAGTGAGACCTCATCTCTACAATAAATCAAAAAATCAGCTGGGTGTGGTAGTGCATGCCTGTAATTCCGGCTACTTGGAAGGCTGAGGCGGAAGGATCGCTGGAGCCCAGGAGGTCGAGGCTGCGGTGGCCAGGAGCGGCCACTGCACTCCAGTCTGGGCGACAGAGTGAGACTCCAACTCAAAAAAAAAAAAAAAGAAACATTGTATCAGCTAGCAGAGAAGTAGAATATCCAACAAAGATAAGCAGTGGGGATCTCAAAGCTCCAATAGACCTTTATCTTCTGCAGCTCAGAGGTGGCTCTTTGAATTAGACAGAAAAAGAGAAAACTCTCTAGCTCAGCTACTGACAGGTACAGTCTTCATGTCCACGTTTAATATACCATTTCCATGCGAGGAAAATAATTTTCAAGAAACTGACTTATCAAAGGCCCTTTAAAACAAAATTCACTCATTTTAGACACTGCCCACAAAAATAATAAATCCTTTTATTATTTTTTTAGTTTAATCTTATATATCTAAAAATTAAGCTATATTTTAAGGTTTTTTCTATATAAGTAGAAGTCATTGAAAATGCATGTCAGGTCGGGCTCGATGGCTTAGCCTGTAATCCTAGCACTTTGGAAGGCTGAGACAAGTGGATTGCCTGAGCCCACCGGTTCAAGATCAGCCCAGGCAACTTGATGAGCCCTCATCTCTACAGTAAAATAAAAAACAACCAGGCGTGGTAGTGTGTGTCTGTAGTTCCAGGGTACTCGGAAAGCTGAGGCAGCAGAAGGATCGCTGGAGCCCAGAAGGTCAATGCTGGCCGTGAGCGTGCAAGCCACTGCACTCCAACCTGGGCGAAAGAGTGAGACTCCAACTCACAAAAAAAAGAAAATGTATGTCAAAGTGTTTTAATTGTTTGAAAAATCCACTCTATTGATAGATATCATCTGATGTAATGTTGCTCTGTTAAGTAATACAAGTACTGCATTTTATCTAGTGTAAAGTGCACACTAAGGACATTAGGTATGCTATATTCTAGATACAGTTATCTTTACTCTTTGATAAGAGAAAAACTAAGAAAATCCATAAACCACAACTTAATATTTGCACTTTTTTTTTTTTTTTGAGTTGTAGTCTCACTCTGTCGCCCAGACTGGAGTGCAGTGGCCGCTCCCAACCACCGCAGCCTCGACCTGCTGGGCTCCGGCGATCCTTCCACCTCAGCCTTCCAAGTAGCTGGAACTACAGGCACGCGCTACCACGCCTGGCTAATTTTTTTGATTTATTGTACAGATGAGGTCTCGCCAAGTTGCCCAGGCAGGTCTCGAACCCTCGGGCTCAGGCAATCCAGTCACCTCAGCCTCCCAAAGTGCTAGGATTACAGGCTGAGCCACCGAGCCCAGCAATATTTGCACATTTAAAAAAAGAATACTAAGCTAGAAACCAGGAGATTCAAGTCATAGTTCCAGTACTGCCATAACTTTCAGCCAAGTCCATTTAAAATTCTGTATCTTGGACTCTTAGTTCAAATGAATGATCCTGGTTTAATTCAGCTCTAAAAAGCTATGCTTGTATACTTTAAACATGTATTAGCCATAAACAGTAAAGATGGTGAAGAATGGATGCCAGATTCAAATTCTTTTTTTTTTTTTTTTAAGTTGGAATCTCACTCTGTCAACCAGGTAGGAGTGCAGTGGCATACTCATGGCCACCGTAGCCTCGATCTGCTGGGTTCAGGCAATCCTTTCACCTCAGCCTCCAAGTATCTGGAACAAATATTCAAATTCTAGCTTAACCACTTATTAGCCATCTTGGATGAGTTAAGTTAACCTTGTCTCTCACTTTATTGATATATATCCTATATTTCATATATAATGAAAAACAGTACTTATTTCATAGAATTATAATGAAAATTAAATGAGATAATATATGTAAAGCACATAGCTTTGTGCAGGGCACACAGAAAAAGTCCAATAAACGTCACCATTTTTAACACTGGGTTAAAACTCATTTTAAGTAACTCTAAGAACCGATCTCAACTCTGTTAGCATACTGGAATTTACATGCAGTCAGCTAAGAATTCAGAAATCATTTTGTAGCCAGGTATCACTTAACAGGAATAAGTTCTGAGAAATGCAGCATTAGCCTATTTTGTCACTGTGAGATCTCAGAGCATATTAAACCATTTAAATCATTCCACTAAATTTGTACTTATACTAAGCTAGATGGTATAGCCTACACACACCTAGGTTATAGCCTATTATTCATAGGCTATAAACCTATAGCATGTTACTGTACTGAATACTGTAAGCAACTATAACACAATAGGAATTTTTGAACATTGTAATGCAATAGGAACTTTCTAGTTGCATTATAGTCTTATAGGACTAGCATTTTATATGTGGTCTGTTGCTGACTGACACATCATTAGGTGGGACATGTCTGTATTAAATCTTCATTAGAGAAAAATGTATCATAATGAAATTTAGCTTTATATTACACTTGACACCTTCTGGAATGTGGCTATCAAATCTATCCTGCCATATCTTCATCTTTTAAAAAAAGCATTTCTAAACTAGGTAAAATACACACACACACACACACACACACACACACACACACACACACACACACACATTTTTTTGAGTCGGAGTCTCACTCTCGCTCAGGTTGGTGTACAGAGAGTGGCACACTCAGGTCTACCACAGCCTCAACCTGCTGGGCTCAGGAGATACTTCCACCTCAGTCTTCCAAGTAGCTGGAACCATAGACACGTGCCACCATACCTGGCTAATTTTTTTTTTTTTTTTATTGTGAAGATAAGGTCTCGCCATGTTGCCCAGCCGGTTTCAAACTCCTGGGCTCAGGCAATCCTCTCACCTCCACCTACCAAAGTGCTGGGATTATAGGTGAGAGCCACCATGCCCAGCCACAAAAATTTTTAAACCACATATAAACATAACACACTGTTAAATTATACACTACTAATCTAATAGAAGAGTTTTCAGTGATATGATTTGGATGATGCAGGACCATTGGTTCAGTAGTTTGATATGTCACTTTTTTCATCTCAGAAATTTCTTCTAAAATTCAAGCATTTAAATCATTCCACTGAC